GGGATGAATCCTTCGATGTTCGCGTCCATTGTGCTAGGGTCGATGGCGATGGCGATGGTGACGTTCTGGAAGTCCGTAGTCATGGTGGTGGTGGAAAAATGAGTCGTGCGACCACACGGAGGGGGGGAGTAGACACGAGATCGAGTCACGGGCGTCCAGCGTCACAAGGAGGACAGATGGGAAAGAAAACCTTCAGCACATTACCCTCGAGCGTTCCAATTTAGAAAAAAAGGTGAGTTTCCGCGAAAAGCTGTACCGGGGTCAACGACGAAGACAGCACAAGAAACGGTAAAAACTTCCATCAAAAACGGGGAATTCTCTCCGGGATCAACGACGGCGAAGCTAACGCAAGACAGACACGACAACCGTGCGAACATCGGGAACTTTGTCGAAACGCTGAAAGTTCGTGTTCGACAGCCGGGCGACCACGAGAGTCGGCTTTCACTCGTGAGACGTACCGACATATAGTCTAGAGATAGAGTTCATTCCACACCATGCGAGTGGGGCGTGTTGAAACCAGTACCCGTGCAAAGAGCTACTCGATGCTCGTACCATGTCTCAATTTTCCGGGAAACTCTTGCTGCACTAGGGGTCGCCCGATCTGGCTTCCATGGTATTGTTGTACCCTACAACATGCAACTGCATCGTTCATTATCGTCCTGAGTCTTGGTTGCCGCACTTCGTCCACACAGGTGGTATTAGGGTTCAACCACGTACCTCAATTTCGACCTGGCGTCCACATCCTTCTGCTTGGTGGGGCAGGAGAAGAAGCAAACGCAACAGAGAGAAAAGAAAAGCAAGGTGGAGTCGACACTGCCCATCTTGAGCCAAGATATTCGTATCCAATGAGTCCTTGTTGTACTGAGCTTTCTCCACGGCGACCCCTGTCATTGGTCCGCGCGTGGGAACTATCTCGTGCGAAAATGAGATGCAGAACATACACCATTCAAGGTCTGTGGACCCACCAAGGTGAGACCCCAACACGCGGCGATTAGTTCTACCTGCAAGTAAATGTCGACCGGCGTCGCAAGCACATATAGTAGGGCACTTCGTTGCAACAGTTACGTAAAATCGTTGGCGCGGAAAGTCAGCAATATCCATGCGGCGGTGGACAAGCAACACTTGTGCAATCGCCATCAGGCCCCTGCTTTCGAATAGAGGCTGGGTTCGGTTCGGTTTGATCGGAGGTTCAAATCCAGGCCCGAGCTCTTTTTCTTTCGGACTTTCCAAGTTCCCATGGAAAGTCGCTTTCCCAATCTCTCTTTGTCTTCTCGTTCTCTCGTCCTCTCTCTCTCTCTCTCTCTCTCTCTCTCTCTCTNTCTCTCTCTCTCTCTCTCTCTCTCTCTCTCTCTCTCCCTCTCTACATCTCTCTGTTTCTCTCTCTCTCTCTCTCTCTCTCCATGCTATTATACTTCCAGTCTCATCCAGCCTCGAAGCCAATGGCAGCGTGAGCGATCCGGTAGTGACACCATGTCATTCTACGTCATATCGTTCCTTGCGGGCATCCATCCTCTTCGAAACCTTCTAGGTTCGAATACTAAGGTGGCGCGATTGCTCTGGGAGCACCCCGGCCGTCGAAACTTGACAAGTTGGGAGTAGGTTCGAGGGAAAAGATCGACTCACTGCGACAGCTGCAGCGATCCTTGCGGGAGTCAACATGGAACGCCCCCCGGTTTGAATGGTGTTGGAGTCGGCGGATTCTACGACGACGACTAAAATAGCAGCACCGGTAACAGCAACAACAACAACAACAACAACAACAACAACAACAACAACAACAACAACAACAACAACAACAACAACAACAACAACAACAACAACAACAACAAGGTCGACGACGACGACGACGACGACGACGACGACGACGACGACGACGACGACGACGACGACGACGACGACGACGACGACAAAAACTAAAAAAAACGGCAACAGCAGCAACAAACATCAGCATGGCAAGGAATGCAAACAAGCGCTTGTCTTAAGTTGACCTGCTCGGAGGGCGTAAAACTTGCGCATGTCCGTGTCCCCCCGAGCCAGGGCATCGACCATTGACCACGCGTCCTCGAGAGGACGGAGCATTGTCCCACAGGACCGATCACCGATGGCCAATCGCTCCTTTCTACTTTGCCAAAGGTGGCTCAAAAATGTCTTCCCTAGTCTGTCTATGCTAACGATATCTCTTCCCGCCTTTTCAACCCATCTCCTATGCCCCAGTACAGCTACCGTCCTTTCCTCTCTATTCCATGCCTCAAACGTCTCCCTGTACGTCCCATCTATTTTTCCCAGCTCAGTCACGTACACTTCCCTCTCCCTGT